TCTCTAATTACAAAGATTTCTTCAGAGAACCTAATGTTTCTTAGAGAACTATCATCTCTCCTCTTGTATTTTCAATAAATCTCAGATGTATCTTTAGCTGCATACAATTATGTGACATCTTAGAGTGTTTGAAACAGAATCCAGATGAAGAAAGACTCTTAAAGCCTAATGACACAGGAGTGAAGTGCTAAGAGTGTCCCCTATTGTAGCTACCATGACAACCCCTATATTTTAATGCTGAATTTCAGCTTTTTGAGAGTAGCTATTTTTCAGGTCCGTGGGGTGAAACTCAATTTTTATCACTGGCTGCGGTGCTGGGAAGGAGAATTTCAATGCCCCGTGAATGCTAAGTCATTTTGTTTGTTTGTTTGCAGAATAATCTTTAGACTGACATAATGACACATGCCATAAGATTTCCTGAATTGAACTTTTTCCTTCCCTCTGGAAATGATGAGATTGGAACAAAAAGATATTTAGCGTAAAACAAATGAAAACAAAACAGAGCCAGGTCTTCTCTGCAATCAAGGAGACACAGGGCTCATTACTGAAAAGGAAGAACGGTGTATTCACGCAGAGATTTAAAAGTCCCTTAGTGAAATTGTGGAAGAAAGTTCTGCTACTTGGTGAGAATATAAATAACTTTATAAAGAGAGGGAACTGAGAGAGAACATTCTAGGAAGGATGGACAATTTCTGAGCATTAAGCTAATTTTAAAATCATAATGTAGTTATTTAAAAGAATCAGAAAAAATTTTAATTACTAGAAATTGAAAAAGAAAATAGTGAGATAAAAACCTACTCTGAGATCCACTTTTTTAAAAGGCTAAAGTAAATAAATAAATCCATGCATAAATAAATGTTAAAATTTTAACATGTTAATAGAATGAGCTTAAGCTTAATATCTTAATATCTTAATATAATAGCTCATTATAATAAGTAATAATATTAGCAATATAATAATAAGTAACAATATTAATAATAATATTATTACTATTTCCTTCCTGAGTTCTGCATTTTTATCAATTTCTTAAAGATTAATGTGGTTATATTTGGTTTTAGGAATGGAAGAGAGAGGAAATAAAGCTTTTACTTTCTAATTTACTTTCCGTTGTCCTCTGAATTTTTTGAAGATGACTAATCATTTTAACATCTTACAGATTTTCAGGGCAGTTTTATTTTGATTCATTTGTGTATCCACCTTGATCTTCCTATGTATAAAACAATTACATGTTATAAAAAATATAACATCACATATGAAAATTTCCTAGTGGAATTTATTGCTTCAAACTTTTTTGAATATTTATGAGATTATTTTAAACTATATATGCATGTATTTTATACAAAGATATTTTATTTCAGTCTTTATCAGTCATGTTTGCCTTAATAAACATAAAGTAATCCTTTTCCTCTATTAAATACTTTGGAGTTGAATTCTATTTAGTCTAAAAATATATCTATATCTGCTTTCTTTATTATTTTATTTATTGGCTTTTTTACCCCTTGAGTTCTAATTTCATTTGCTCCTTTTTCTTGTTCTATTTCTCACTGACAGCTACATTTTCTTAACCAAGTTTTAGAATTTGTGTCTTCTAAACAGGAGAACTTAGCTCATTTGAATTCACTGTCATAATTGACATTTTTTAGTTCAATGCTATCATTTTCTTTTATTTCTTTAATGCTATATATTTATTTTCTTTTCACAATTGTAGTCATATGTCATTGTTGTATGCTATTCCTCCTTCTTGGTTAGTTTAATTTAATAAAATTATTACTTAAATAAAAATTGTCTACGAGTGCCAAGGAGTAAACACACTCTGATTATTTTTATTTGAAGCAAGAAAATGTTGACCCTTAGTTCACCAATAATCTTCAGTCTTCCCAATCCTACTCTTAGAAGTGTAATCCAGTTTTATGGAATTAATTTAAGATGGAAACGATTTTAACATATATATTCTCCAAAAATGATTTTTTGCCTCTGTCTTTTATTTTAAGTCATGATCATAACAGGCACTATACTTTACACTATGAAATTTCCTTCTTGAGTTCTGGATTTCATTAATTTCTTAAAGAATAGTGTTTGTCCCATTGGTTAAAACTGCCTCATTGATAAGATCCTCTGCAGAGAGTGACGGTTCCCAGAGAGCTAACTGTACCTTCAACTCTTTTCCACCCCAGAAAGCATAATGGGAGCACAAATTATTTTAGTAATGCCAGAATGATTATAGGCTACTATCTTTTTTTTTTTTGAAACTTAGAATTATATACACCCTGCTATATCTAATTATGGTGTTTTCATTAAGTTCGTCTAAAGTTTGGTAAACAATTTTGATTAATTGCATCTTTATTCTCTCTTCCCTTCCTCACTATCTGTTCTCTCTGTCTCCCTCTTCTTTCTCTTCTCCCTCTCCCGCTCAGATTCATCCTTTGTCTCTCCAACTTACCTATTTCCTCCCTATTTCAAATTTCTGATATTTGTTCTCCATAAGAAACCAAAGAAAATTTTATTTTATTTTCTTCAGTCAATAACAGTTCTATCCTACCGCTCAATGGAAGTAATTATTTTTCGGCTTCAGTTTCTTTCTTTTCTCTGTCATCTCTACACTAATGTTTACCTCTGCCACCTTTTTCTTTTACTTTGACTATCTGCTATTATTTCAGAGAAATCACTCCTATTTGCATCTTTTTCTTAAGAAATTATCCAGACACATTTTTTTTTTCCGATTCTATTAGAAGGTCTTTGTAAAGGTTGTGCTCTTCTGACTCTATCTAGAGTTGTCACTTGGTGCATATATAAGGTGGCTGAAAGCCCTTAATATTGCTCCTTTTCTCAGCAATGCTAGCTACTTCCTCCTTCTTAGAACAAAACCTCAAAATCATTTGGATGGGCCTGCACTTTTCTTGAAACCTGACAGTTAACAGCTTTCTATGTAATACAAGTGTTTTAGGGGAAGGTTTGTATTTACCTGCTCTGTCAGGTTATCTGACTTAACTAAGGAGTTAGATAGAGTTTTTCTTTGAATAGATTAGACACTAGTGTTAAAAAACACACACAAGGGCCAGCCTGGTGGCATAGTGGTTAAGTTCTCATGCTCCTCTTCAGTGGCCTGGGGTTCGTAGGTTTGGATCCCAGTTGCAGGTCTATACACTGCTGATCAAGCCATGCTATGATGGTGTCCCACATACAAAATAGAGGCAGATTGGCACAGATGTTAGCGCAGCAACAGTCTTCCTCAAGAAAAAAGAGGAAGATTGGCAACAGATATTAGCTCAGGGTTGATCTTCTTCACATACATACACAAAACAAAACAAAACAAAACAAAACAAAACACACACATGTCCCAAAAACAAATTGCCCCACTGTACTTCCTGTTTGCTGTTCCCCTGCTTGAAGGTTGGGGTTTGGGAATAAAATACAAATGTTGCTGTGTTTTCTGTCTACAATCAAGACTGTGTTCACATGGCAGTATCTTTGGATCATAGCTACCAATTTTTGTTGTCAATAAAGTGAAAATTTTGTTTAATTAGGTTTAGAAGATGGGAATTAATAAAGCAGAAAAGTTAAGAACGTTAATGCTTAATTCAAGAATGTGCTCCTTACTCCCTGCCATCAATTAAAAAGAAATATTATGTAAAGTCTTTGCTATCCTCTTCAGCAAGGCACTGTGGTATAGCAACGAGCACAAAATTTAGAATTAGAGAAACTTGGATTCTCGATTTGGCTCTGAATGTATTTGTTATATGACTTTGGGTTAATACGTAGACTTGAAGACCTGAAGTTTATTCATTGTCTCTCTCACAGAACTGTGAATTTCTATACTAGAAAATTATGTAAGTTCTTAGCAGAGTACTGAACACTCAATTAATCTTAGCTATTATTAGCTGACACTGGTTATGTCATGTTGTGCATCTTTATGTATATTTTAATGGAACATTCGAAGAAGGTTTGATCCATATGCCTAGTGGATCACCGTTTTAAGAGAGGAATTAGGAATCATGTATAATGACATGCTTTAATTTATTTCAACATTGTAATGCTACATTGTGGTCAAGTGAAACAATTTTACAAGAGATCAAATAAATTCAGCCAAGTATGAGTATATGAGTCAAATAGTCTCCTTAAATTAGGGAGTGAATAAATGTGATATATTCCTAACAAGCTTATATAAACATTGACTTTTATAAATAAATATTTACATTGGAGTTATGATTAGGTTTCTACTAATGAGTTAACAAGAGGGAATAAATATAGAAGATCCAAAAATTATAAATCCATATCCTACTCCACCTCCAGTACTTTGAATTGTGAGTATGTATGTGTGTTTATGTGTATGTGTGTGGGTGCTGTTATACATATATATATATATATATATGTGGATGGCAAACAAATCTAGGATGTACAGCAGAAGAAAGCTGAGAAACAGTTGTAAATGTGTTTAGGATTTTGAAAATGAGAGTTATTGAGAGGAAATAGTTAAAATATTTGTTGTTTATCAGGAGAAAAACAACAGGAAATGCTCCAACTCGAATATAGCTCAGCATACTTCAAGGCTTTGTGGATACATTTAATGTGAAGACAAAGATGTGAAATCATGTTCTGTACACATTATATTTGTAGAGGTTTTACTTCTGCAATTGGGTAAATCAGTCGTGATTATCATAGGCTATTGCTATATTTGCCAGGGTTGACGTCAGACTGGATTATAATGGAATTTGTTTCTTCCAAGCCTTATGATTGAAATCCCAGTAGCTGTCACCAGATACATACTGTGCTGTTTCAGACTGTTGGCAATGAAGCCCTGAGAGATGGATCTTTATCGCAATTAGTGATAAATGTGAAGCATGGTAATAATTCAAATACTTATTTTTATTTTTTTACTGAAAATTAACTCTTTATTAAAATGACTTTAATTTGTATATATATATGTCTCTATGTATACATATATGTGTATGTGCATAGTAATAGAGTCCAGCTTATGTCTAGATATTAAGAACACATTGAAGTCCCAGAGAAGAAACAGTCACAAGTCTTACCTCTTGTCCTAGTCCCAGAGCCTGTAAAGGAGAGCCCACTGGGACTGGCTGGGAGAGAGGAGGAAAGTTTGTTCTAAAAGGAACTGTCTGAGGGAACATAAGGATTTCTGAACACAGGAAAGAGAGAAATAATCACTTGTTGAAAAATCAGTTATATTTTTTTCCAGATCTGAAGAAAGAACAAAGCACATTGATTGGAATCTAACTCTTAGAGGAAGTCAAAAGAAAGGGTCAAGTCATTTCTTGTGCAAGCCAGCTGTTCAAATTAGCATACAATCATTTCAGCCATTTAAATAAAGTTTTATTTTAACCTTCAAAAAAGAAAAGGACATATTGAAGGAGTACGGTGTGGTATTATTATTCTATCTCTTTATTCCCTCTCTCCACCCCAACTACCTACACACAGTATGTTTGCCTAGTTTATCTCATCATTTTATGATACCGAAGTACCTGTGATACTATTTCAGTTTAGCTTGAATGTATTTCCATACAATAAGTTTTCTGAATGTTTGAACCTATCCATATCTTATGAAAATTAATGCCGAATACTCACTTACTCCAAGTCACACACAAAAACTCTGGATTTTCAAGCAATTTCTCACTTTTGCTTAAAAAGATGTGAAAATCAAGGAGTTGGTGACTAATTTAAGTATCTTTGAATTTCATAATGAAATTAATGACACAAATTGCTCTAAAATTGATTATAAAATTCACTCCAGTGATATAAATTGTAAAGAGGAGACTAGTTTCAGGTTAGAGAAATAATGATTTATCATGACTTTGGGGAAAGATGAAAGCAGTAATAAAATCCTAGAAGGAAAAGTCACAGGCACAGGTGGGGAGCCAGATGACGTGGCTCTTAAAGATGTTTCTCCGTGGGGATTATTGATGACAATAACTGTCTGTTGTGTATTGATTTCCGACATGTCTATCCCTTGAGTCTTACAGACCAGAAAGGAAATGGTTTACATTATAATTGTGATGACAAATATAAATGAAAAAACAGGTTTTTAACAACTTCTGGGGGAAAATTCCTTTTTGCATGGTGATCACGAGTGTGCGTTTTTTCTATAACCTCAGCTGTCCCTCATAGCCAAAGCAAGGAAATAAGCAAACCCAACATAACACTGGCATAGACAGAAATCAACGAGGCTACCTCACATCCGGCAATTTTGTCAGTACCCTACCTGAGAAAGACTATTTGTTTTCAAAATGCTAATTCCACAATCCAACCGTTGGGCACGAAATCAAAAACAAATGGCCAAAGGAGTTGTGATCCAAAGATAATCTCTGGAGAATGTATGTTTCACTAATCATGCCTTGGCATCCTTCTGTCATTTAGTAAATAAATTTTATTACAAATATCTAATACCTAAGAGATCACTTAATAAGAAATTAAAAAATTAAGTTACATAACCCCCAAGTTTACATTAATACCAATAATGTCTGCATTAAATATATTAAATGAAGCCAAACCTTTAACCCAACAAACAAATTGTGGACTCCTTCACCATTTCATTGTTGGATAGTAACAATTCTGAAAAAGATAAAATGGTTTCAACCAATGAATGGGTAAGTAAGTTTGTTTTCTAGTTGCTTTCTTTTTTTTTAGTTTTTATTACTATTACAACATGAACAAGTAAATTGTTAGGTTCCTCTGTTGTTCATAAAAGTCAAACTTGGAGCATAAATAGGAAGGAGAGAATCCTTCCTCCTTGCCTGGACACACAGTTAATGAGTAAATAAGCAGAGGTGATCGATATTCCATCTCTGCCATGTTGCCTTTCACTTGGCGAGAATGTTAGAAGATCAGACTCAAGAAAAGCTACACCTGTGTTTATTATTATTCTCAGTTTGAGTTTGGAGAAGATGCTGGGCAGGGGTGTGTTATCAGAGTGGAAATGACACAGGCTTAGGAACATGATGGTGGGAAAGGGGACTAACTGATTGTGAATCAGATGGTTCTCTGATTAAGTTTTGGCTTCTTACTAGTTCATTTGAGAGTTACTTAAAACATTCTGAACTTCAATCGAATAAACTCTAAATTAGGGGTAAAAATGAGGTTGGTAATCCTTTTCTTATTGGATTGTGAGAAACAACAGATTGTGCACATTAAGTACCTAATAAAGAGTGTGCCCCTCAGAAATGGGGAGATTCTTACTGTTGTGATTGTGGTCGGTTTTAGTTTGTTATTGCTAGGACACCCGTGTAAGTTCCAGATCTGTTGTTTCCCAGATGAATGAAATTGTACATGTCAGCAAACCTGATTTTCACTTTCCTCATTTGTAAAATAAGAATCACATCATCTGGTTTACCAAAGAATCTTAATATAATTGAGATTTTAACTTTAAAATCTATATAAACAGATATGTTTACTCTTATCATTCCTATCATACTGATTAAGCTAATACAGTTAGTTAACTAAATTCAAGATTGTGAGTCTGACGTCCAACATAAGCTTAATTCACTCATTCATTCATTCAAAAGATGGTGTTCATCACCTACTCTGTGCTGGCATCGATCTTGGTTCACTGATCTCATAGATCTTACAGTCCTGGTAGTAGAAACAGATACTAAAGAAGTGAATAAATGCATAAATAAGATAATGCTGAACAATTTTAAATCCTGTGGAGAAAGTGAAATAGGATGATGTAACCTGGAGTGGGAGGATACATTAGCTGGAGAAGATATTTGAGCTGAGAACCCAATGTCCAAAAGGAGCAGGGCGTGCAAACATTAGGTGAATATTTTTGCAGAGAGATCAGCAAGTATATAGCCCTAAATAAAATTAGGTTTGGCCCTTTGCAGGATAGAAAGAAGGTGGAAGGAGTGTATTCAGCTGGTAGAACAGTAGATGGAGATGAATTCTGAGTGAGAAGCAAGGATGTAGTTATGTGGGGCCTTAAAAGTTATAATACAGGGTTTGGATTTTTGTCTACATGTTATGTGAAGCTCTTGGCGAATATAATGCAAGGGAAGATATCAGCTAATTTATAGATTTCAAAGAGGACTATAACTTGAGTGTACAGAATGTATAATATAGAGTGTAGAGAATGGATTAAAAGGGGCCCAGAATATAAGCTGAGAGGTCCAATTATACTATTCATCATAGATAGACTAAGAACAGAGTAAAGGACTAGTAAAGCAGATAGTAAAGTAGTGTAGAGATCCAATCAATATTATTCAGCATAGACAGAATAAGAAAGTAATTAATAGAAGTGTTAGTAAAGCCATTAGTGAAGAAGTAATTTGTGGAAGATAAGGCCAAGTGTCCAGATTGGTGGGTTAATGTTGATCCCAGTTTTCTTTTAGAGATAAATAACAAAAAATGTAGAATATTGTTGGAAAGATCATTACCCATTTAAGTCTGGATCTCACAATTGTTTAAAACAAGATGATGGATCCATTCATGTTACTATTAAGAATTAGTTATTTGACTTTAATTTGCTTAAAACGAAATATATGTTCTAGAATTTGAGGCTTGATTACCAGAAGAACTGCAGAGTGACTTTTTGGTTTTTGTTCTCTTTTTTCATAGAGCAACTTTTGCCCCTCACCCATCCCCATCCAAGCTTGAGTGCTGTAACAATAGTCGTCAGGATCTATGGCCTCTGACACTAACTCTAAAAGGAGCTGATCATAGTTGGCAGTCCAGACAAGTGATAGAATCAAAGGATACTGAAGTTGGAGCAGACTTTAGAAATCATGTTCTCAGATTATTAACAGATGGGGAAATAGAAGCTTGGGAAGATAAAGTTACTAGACCAAGAACGTATTACTCCCCAAAGAAAGATTTTGAATCCATGTCACCTGACTCCCAGATCACAGTCTACACTGAAAAATGAAGTTCATATTCACCAGAGTTGAGCAACTACCATCAGAAAAGCCAGTTTACCACTATGAATTTCTGCTCCTACTTTGTTGAAAATGACTAGACCTTGCTATCTTGCCAGTTTTGTTTTTTGGCTCCCCAGAAGAAGAGACATACGCAAATATTTGAGTTCATGTGGTTTATTTGGATCCCAGGAAATACCAGTAGGAAAGTGAGTCAAAGAGCAGAAAGAAGCCAATCATGGGTGCTCTGTTTTGTCAAGCAATTTTCTATTGTAGGCAACTGAGGCTCAGTCTCCCTCCTGAACTCTAAGAAGCAGTAAAGAATATGGCTCTGAGTTACCTCACCTTCCGCAGGGGTGAGGAAGCTGAGGTACTGATCCTCCAATTCTCAACCATTAGCTGTCATTGACTGACAGCTGCTTCTGGGGATATTTTATTTACGACACCTCAGCCTCACTCCTAAGAAGGTAAGCAAAGATGGAGAATTGCAGGTTATGCTATAATATGCCAAAGGCATGGGCTGGAATTGTGAGAGCAGAATGACTGGGGCATGAACAATTATCTATTCCAGCTAATCAATAGAGTAAAATGTTGTGTTTAAACCTCATCCATCACTTTTATTTGTTTTCTTCAGGAAGTTCAATCAGGGACTCTATTCCATTATAGTGACAGAAATAGAAATAAACAATTGTATTATATAGTTTCTTTTATACACACATTTGAATAAAAAGTGGAGTTTTAGATATTTAGATACCAAAATAAATGATAATTGAATGGCATGTTTAATTGAAGCTAACAACACTAAAACAGCAAATAACCAGAGAAGTATTTTCTTAAAATGAAGTCACAATGAACATTAATTTCTCACACCGATTTCACATAAAAACTTTTCCCTTGACTCAGGACCATAATTATCACTGGGAAAACCCAGGCATCTTTAGCATATCCTCTCTTTTTTTCTCACTTGTGTGATCTTCACATTCATTTTGTATTCTCTCGAATTCCCATTAAGAATCTAGTTCTATCACTATGTGTGCCATACTGCTATTTCTTATGAACTATACTACCTCAACATAATAAAGGCCATGTATGACAAACCCACAGCTAATATCATTCTCAATGGAGAAAAACTGAAAGCTATCTGTCTAAGAACAGGAACCAGAAAAAGATGCCCACTTTCACCACTCTTATTTAACATAGTATTGGAAGTCCTAGCCAGAGAAATCAGGCAAGATAAAGAAGTAAAAGAGATCAAAATTGGA